AATCCTTAACACTTAACCAATTCACGATACGTCTTTTACAAGCATTTTACTCCTCCACCACACTTGTAATACACGTGAAACAAGAATCCTTTGAGAGATTTTAAAGTCCACCAATCTACTCTAAAATAACTAACATTTTACAATATATTTAATATGGGTATACAGTATTTAACAAGGCCACCTAAACATTATACACTACAAAAAAACCAGCATATAGCGACGGAATTTGCGACGAAAATTTCCGTCGCACAGGAAATTGCGACGGAATGTGACGATTTTACGACATAACGTGGAAAAAAATTATCCGTCGCAAACAGTCGCAAAATCCGTCGCAATTTGCTACGGTTTGCGACGGATAATTCTGTCACAACAAAAAAATAGATGATTTGCGACGGAAAATAAAAATTGCGACGGATTGCGACAGAATATTCCGTCGCAATGTATTTGGTTTCGGTTTTCGACGAAATTTTTTGAATTTTGGGCGCGTAAATAAATTTCATTTTGTGACGGATTGCGACGGAAAATTCCGTCGCAAAACGCAATATAAAACCACGAGTCGTCTTCATCAGATTCAAAGATTTTCGGAAAAAAAAATAAAAATCGCCATTTTTTTCTAAATCTCTCCAAAGATCGCCAAATTTCTCCCATAAGGTAATATATATGTATTTATGTATATATATATGTGTGTGTTTGATGTGTTTGTGTGTGTTTATGTATGTGTATGTGTGTGTAAGTGAATGTGTATATATATGTGTGAATGTGTATGTGTGTGTTTATATATGTGTGTAAGTGAATGTGTATGTATATGTGAATGTGTATGTGTAACATCCTGATTTTTTTATTAATTAATAGATTAATTAATTATTAATAATAAATAATTTTAAAAAAAAACAAGGAGAAGGTTTGGCCGCCCACGTGAAACAAATCACGCATAACCACCTACCCATATACATATATATAATATATCTAATATAATAATGATTATAAAATAAAATATTTATTATAAAAAAAATGATAAAACCTCGCTATATAAAGGACATGCGATTCGGATGAAGCATACGAGAGAGAGAGAGAGAGAGAGAGAGAGAGTAAAAAAAAAAAGAAATTTTTTTTAAATTTTTTAAAACATTTGCGACGGAATGCGACGGAAAAAAATCCGTCGCAAATTGCGACGGAATTATCCGTCACTTTCCGTCGCAAAACGCAGATTTTTTCCGTCGCAAAAATGCGACGGATTAACGACCGTTATACGTTTGCGACAGCGCTATACCGACGGAAATAAATCCGTCGCATTCCGTCGCAAATTCTTAATTGCGACGGATTTCCTTTATATTTGCGACGGATTTTTCCGTCGGTATATAACTATTTTCTTGTAGTGTATAATAATTACCGTGTACGGGGAGTTTGTACCGTTTATTTGAACTAATCAATTAAAGGGGTTTATGTGTATTTAGACATCATTACAATATGTGCATATAACCATACATATGGTATAGCTCATTCATGCACTGTATTGCATATTGTAGGAACATAAACAAACGTACGGGGTAATAAATCTATATAACATATAAAGATTTAAATTGTACAGTCCCATCCATATTATTGTGATATGATATGTATAACATGTTATATCGTAATTTTGTCTAAAACACATATATGTTTACAGGGTGTACCCATACTAACGCATGTATAACACATAATATTTGCGTTTATATTAGTTCTAAACGGTACTCAAACCATAACATGCTAAATGGGTGATACCATGATATAAACGTTCAAACATGGTTTTACGATTATACAACTTGATTTTCCTGTATAAAATTATATACCCGATATTGATATATACCCCATATCTGGGTTTTGTGTCCAGAACTCCTACATTTATATGGTTTATATGCACTTTACCCATATTATAATACACTCCTACATGTTTATAAAACACATCTAATTTATTTGGTATAGCAAACATTTAAACATACGATATCATATTTAATAACGCTCTAATATCGAGTAGTGGTGTATATAACGAGGTATGTTTTTACGTTTGTGATTACCCATAACCACATACATATTTAAAATCATTTTCATACCCGAGTAGTGGCTACTCTAGTGATGTTATATGTTTTAAACACGGTTATATCTTAGAGTTATATGGATTTATGTATCGCCAGGATCCAATACATAATGGTATACAATGTAAACATCCAAACATTACTAACATATGATTTCCTGGAGATAATATATGGGTATTTTGAGCTATATGGCACTCGGGGTATTGATTACCCATAACCACAGTAAACATCTTCATGTTTCATCCAAACATACATATATATACATAGATCGAGTCCTATATATATAGGGTGCACTCAAAACACGTTTAGAGTGCGTTCAAACCTTGCTCATAAACCATTATGTATTGTAGCACTCTAAACCATATACCACTATGGTATACGACATGTTTAAAGTTTGCGTCGAATAACTATTTTTTTATAATACTGCTTGAACGTATATCAATTTTTCTTTATGAACGATAATACATTTATCTAAACCGAATAAGTTTGAAACGCTTGTTGATAAATGTAAATCCATCTATATTTACAATCCTAAACTACAAAATATTTAGAGTCCTTGTAGGAACGCACTCTAAACTACATGTTTTGAATACATATAATCCTATATCGAATCTTTACAATAGAAAAATTGATATAATGTATTAATCGTATGTATACAATATTAAATTTGGTATAATGTACATTATATACATATACCCATATGTACCCTATTGTATTAAAGATTAATTATGATTTAAATTTTAATAAATAATATATGTAAAATATAATAATAAAAAACTCTAATTGTAGAATAATAACAAAATATATATCTAAACCAAATAACAAACATAACTATATAAACTTTACGTACCACATAAAATTTGGATACAAATATATGTATACTATTTTACTTGGCAATCCATCCTGATTATCAAAAATCATATGTATAGGACTGGGTGCAATATAATGTATACATAACTATCAAGTCTTTATGTAATGGTTTTACACCTACCATAATGGACAACATATAGAATTATGTATAAAGTGTTACAGCATTATGATCTTACATCCGTGAATCAAAACTCTATAATTTATATAAAAGATATAGGAATGGTTTATGATGATAATCTATCAAAACGTTTAAACTGATCAAGTGCATCAAACATTGATCACGCGCGGTGATCAGTTCTGGCATACCGCATGATTTCAATGTTTGATGCACCGAATGATTTATGAGAATATTCCTTTATTTTCTGAATCCATATGTTTTGATGGGTCAAGTTTTATATGGTAGACCATATGGCTCCGTAATATTTAAACGTGATAAACAATACCGTATGCTCCGTAATATTGAGATATATTATATTGACGATATCATATACTTTCTTTGGTTAATCATCCGGGATTATTATGGGATGCTCCGTAATATATCTCGTTCACTTGCCAGCAGGTGAATCCACATTCTGAAATACCATACGGGATGCCGCACCGAGTTCTGGCATACCATCGTGCTTTTTGGTACATGTAAGAATTTGTTTTGGTTTGGATGCTACAACATTGTATTTGTGGTGAATATATGATCATAACCAGTTTGGATCATAATCAGGATGCTACATTGTTGTATTCTAGTTATATAAAATGTTTCTTATGTAGTACTAATATGTTTAACACTCCCCATGTCTAAATAGTATGTATATATGTATGTCTATATAATTTTTTAAGTTGTACATGGTATAACGTAAAGCATAACCTACATGCTATATAACTTATGAGTAGATATTTATAAGGTTACCCATCTAATGCGTTAAAAGTGGGGGTCCATATCTAAACACGGTTAGACAATACCCCGGATCCATATATATCGTATACCAGTTCTTACATATACGTAATACCCATATACCAGTCTGTATATGTATCACATGTTTTTGAATCCACATTTGAATCCATAATATCTTAGAGTTATGTAAAAAATGTCTACGCTCTAAAATTGTATACTAAGTGCACTCTAACATCATATGGTAGAGTGCATCACTATCAAGATTAAGACATATATAACTTAATATTGTATGTACAATATGTACATACTATCTGTGATTATATTTATAACAACACGCAATATTAAAACTATGATTTTAGCTATATCACTCTTCAAATCCAGGGTCCACTCTAAATCAACCATCCTAGTAACAGTTGTATAGACCCATAGATCCATATTACAGATATACCGACAGGGTGGTGACTAAACATTCTTCCCATGTACATTGCGCGTTACAGTTGTCTTGTGACTTGAGCTCCGGTGAGATCACCATGAAGAGATAGATAGAGAAACAGAAGAAGAAGAAGAGGGATGTGTATACTCTTCTTCGCCATTGACACGCTTCTTCGCCACTATTTGCTCTATTTGTCACCAATATATATGGATTTGTTAGTGAGAACTCTCTATGATGTTACATATATGCTATAAAACTACGATTTTAGGCACATCAGCACTTTAAACATGTCCTTTGTCTTGTTTCAAAATTTAGAGTGATCATAATCCTACAGTGCATTTACCCCTATGTGTAATCACGGATGTATTTGTTTGGTTATGTTATGTAATCGTATATAAATCATACTAATAGACACTCTTAAAATACGTGCAATAAAATGTACATAAAAAATTTTGTGTTATGGATCATGCCTGTGTTATATCTAACACTCTAGTTATACATTTCCCGGGGTATGTTAAACATAATCCACAAGTCTATGACAGGTATAACTATTTTTCAAGCCTATGTTACATAATCTATGTTTCTTCCATTGTGATTTAAACTAAACATATGTTTATTGGTATAACAAACATTATGATTTAGGAATGGTTTTATGACTTTACGGCACTCTAAAAATACAGTTTATAGATGATATGCACTCTAAATACCCGTTACATATGAGTTATAGATATTGGAGGAGATATATACGAAAGGGGGAACTCCGACTTGAACAAATCTGGACAGCACGAAGACTTGGGCCACAAAGACTTGGGCCTTACTAAAGACAAGGATGATGGGCCTGATGACGTTGACCCAAATGCTCAAGGTGCTTCTTCTTCTTCCTTCCAACCCTAATCACGCCGAAGGAATCCCGTATGAAGATCTTCCTGATGGAGATCATTACGCTCATATATTCTAGTTCTCATATTTTTCTTTGTGATGATTTTTTATGTTTCCATATCAGACCGACTTTCCTTTTCTGGATTATTCTTCTTCTTCGTTTTGCCATCTGTATATATGTGCTGCATAAGGGTATGAATAAAATACAGTCTCAAGTTTTATTGATCAATTCTCACAAATCAATCTCTTTTTCTATATGGTATCAGAGCGTTGATCCATAACTTCTCAGTCTCCTAAGAATCGATTCCGTTTCTGCTTCCATGGATACCTCTTCGTCGCCACGATTGATCCCGATCCAATTCTCGGGAAACAACTATGCTATCTGGTCCAAGGCTGCCAAAACGACCTTGTGCAGTAAGGCTCTCTGGACTCACATCAAGCTGCCTAGTCCGAAAACTGTCACGGCGGAGGATGGCTCTGTTACGGTGGTGCCCAACACGGCGGCTGAAGAAAGTGCTTGGTTCCAAGAGGACCAGTTGGTGTTGTCTCTACTTCACAGCTCTCTAGAGGCGTCTATTTTATCAACCTATATACACAAAGATACCGTTAAAGACCTCTGGGATACTTTAGAGGGAATTTATGGAAATCTCTCCAACTCGAGCAGGATCTACGAGATCAAAAAATCGCTGCACTCCATCAACCAAGGTGGCCAACCGTTCAACAGACTTCTCGGCGACCTCAGCGCCCTCTGGGCCGAGTTAGATGAACTCAGGCTTGTTTCCACAGACTCTGCAGTAATCACACAGCGAAATGAACAAGACAAAGTATACACGCTCCTCCTTTCCCTTGATGGCACTTATGGAGATTTAGTTCACCACGTTCTGAGACAATCAGAATTGCCTTCTCTCAATGAGGTGTGCATGCTCATTAAACGGGAAGAAGGAGGGCGCAATCTCTTCCAAGGTAAGCCTGAACTTGCCCATTTTCGAAAAACATCTTTTCCTTCGAAGGAGAGAACTCCTTTTTTCTGTGAGCACTGTAAGAAGTCAGGTCACACAAAGGCAAAGTGTTGGATCCTTCATCCACACCTTCGCCCTCAGAAATTCAGAGAGCCCGGAACACAGGTTCGTGAACGTGCTCTTGCAACTCCCTCACATGACATGTTCTCTGACGAAGAGTATAAAACTCTGAAGCAACTCATCCAATCTGCATCTGAGTCTGGTAATGTTTCTCACATTGAATCTCCCTTACATTCATCGGTTATTGTCGACTCGGGTGCTACTAATCACATGTTTCATGATTCACAAATTTTCTCCTCATTGGAACACCGTCATGGTGTCGTGTCTGTAGCTAATGGTATTAGCTCTCCCATTCGTGGTCAAGGCACGATTCGTCTTTTTAACAAGGACATCAATGCTCTTTATGTTCCTGATTTTAAAATTAATCTCCTATCGATTCCTAAACTTACGACAGATCTTAAGTGTAAAGCTATTTTCGATGCTAATGAAGTTGTTTTTCAGGATACTAAAACGGGAGCAATATTCGGTAAAGGAGCTCTCAAGAATAATCTCTATCTACTTGATCGCTTGAACTTTCATTCCGAAGTCGCACTTTCTACTATTTGGCATGCACGTTTAGGTCATCCACACACCAAAGTCATGCATCTACTTTTTCCAAACACGACTATGAATAAAGATCCTTGCGAGGCTTGTATTTTGGGCAAACAATGTCGTTTAGTTTTTCCTTTATCGCAGACAATTTATGATAATTGTTTTGAGCTTGTTCACTCGGATGTTTGGACGGCTCCTTGTCACTCTCGAGACAATAACAAATATTTTGTGACATTTATTGATGATAAATCCAAGTACACTTGGCTTACTTTGCTTAAATCTAAAAAGGATGTCTTTGCTGCGTTTAAACACTTTTATGCATATGTGACTAACCACTTTGATGCCAAGATAAAAATATTTAGGTCGGACAATGGAGGGGAATATCTTAGCCATCAGTTTCAGTCATTCATCTCTGAACATGGCATTCAACACCAAACAACATGCCCACACACGCCTCAACAAAATGGCGTTGCTGAGAGAAAAAATCGTCACCTCATGGATATGGCTCGGACTATTATGTTCCATCGGCATGTGCCGAAACGATTTTGGAGTGATGCGGTCACCGCGGCTTGCTACCTTATCAACCGTTTGCCTACGAAAAATCTTTCCGACAAATCTCCCTTCGAGGTACTTAATCATCATATACCATCTTTAGATCACTTACGGGTCTTTGGATGTGTATGTTTTGTTTTGGTTCCAGATGCACAACGGGATAAGCTCGACCCTAAGAGTCTCAAGTGCATGTTCGTGGGATATTCAACCGATCAAAAGGGGTTTAAATGTTATCACCCTGAGTCACGACGGATCTACGTTTCTCGGGATGTTCGGTTCGACGAAAGCAAGGGCTACTTCGCTGCCTCTGATACGCCCGACCTAGATTCCTTGACAGCGTACTCGCCCCGATATGATTCCACTCTTCGTGATATCATAGAATCTGTTCGACGCCAAAATTCTTCTGATGCAGATCTTGTCACACTTCCTGAGACAGTCCCTGTTGTACAGCCTGTGACTGAACCTGATGAAGCTTCGCAGGCTCCTGTTCACTGTGCTTCCTCCAGACCCGATGACTCCACCGAACCTGTCGAACCAGCTGCCGCTATGCTGCCACCTGATTGTAGTGGACCCTCCAGCCCTGACGACACCTCTGACCTTGTCGAACCTATCACTTGCCCCGACGCCTCTGCCGACACAGTTGATGTTCCTGTTCGTCTGATGCCTCGTCGAAGTGCTCGTCTCCAACAGAAAGCACTGCTACAATATCAAGATCTTGCTCAGGATCGTGCACATACTGCAGTAACTTATCCTCTACATGATTATTATTCTTTATCCCATATCTCTGACCATGAACAGGCTTTTCTTAGTCGAGTGGATCAAGGGGTTGAACCTGCCTCTTATGAAGAAGCCAAGGATAATGTGGTTTGGCAGGATGCAATGTCCGATGAGCTGGCTGCATTGGAGAGGAATGAAACGTGGGAGCCTGTCTCTCTTCCGAAGGACAAAAAGGCGGTTGGCTGCAAGTGGGTCTTCAAAATTAAATATAGGAGTGATGGTAGCATTGAACGTCATAAGGCTCGCCTCGTTGCCAAGGGTTTCACTCAAATATATGGGGAAGATTACACTGAAACCTTCGCTCCTGTGGCTAAATTATCTACCGTCCGTGTACTTTTTTCACTTGCTACTAATTTGAATTGGTGTCTTTGGCAGATGGATGTTAAGAATGCCTTTTACAGGGCGATCTCAATGAAGAGATCTACATGAAGCCTCCTCCCGGCTATCACCTTGAGAAAGGCGTGGTGTGTCGTCTTAAAAAGTCCATCTATGGTTTGAAGCAATCTCCACGGGCTTTGTACCAAAAGCTACATGATGCCCTCCTTGCGTTTGGTTTCACACGTAGCAATGCTGATCACTCTCTTTTCATTCGTGTGTTTGACGGTGGTATTGTTGTTTTACTCATTTATGTTGATGATATCATTTTGACGGGTGATTCTACTCAAGATATAGCTGCTACTAAAGTTTACTTGCAGAAAACGTTTGATATTAAAGACCTCGGTGAGCTCAGATATTTTCTTGGCATCGAAGTCTTCCGATGCAAATACACACTTGACTTACTCCGAGACACAGGGAAGCTTGGGGCCAAGCCTGCCCGGACACCTCTTGAAGCCAACTACAAGGATACGTCGGACTCCTCGCCATTTCCTGACATCGAACGTTTTCGACGGGTGGTAGGTAAGCTGATTTATCTTACTCTTACGAGACCTGACTTAAGCTTTGCGGTGCATCAGGTGAGTCAATGGATGCATGCACCGACTCTCCACCATTGGCACATGGTGGATCGAATCCTACGTTATTTGAAGGGCTTGCCGGGAATGGGGATATGGATGCACAACAATCAACACACCGAGATCGTGGGATACTATGACGCAGATTGGGCCAGAGATAAAGCCGATCGCAAGTCTACCACTGGATACTGCACCTTTGTTGGCGGGAACCTTGTTACTTGGCGAAGTAAAAAACAAACGGTGGTGGCGCGGTCGAGTGCCGAGGCGGAATATCGAGCCATGGCAAATACGACATCCGAAATCATTTGGCTCAAAACACTCTTGGGGGAACTCCGACTCGACTCTACATCACCGGTTACCCTTCACTGTGACAACCAGGCTGCCATTCACATCGCTACCAATCCAGTTTTCCATGAACGTACGAAGCACATCGAAGTCGATTGCCATTTCATCCGTGAGAAGATACTTCAAGGTATCATCTCCTTGAGCTATACGAAGAGCACCGACCAACTTGCATATATTTTTACCAAGGCTACCTCAACCGATGTTCTTCATTATCTCGTTGGCAAGCTCGGCATGCATGACTTCTACATGCCTAGCTTGAGGGGGAATATTGGAGGAGATATATACGAAAGGGGGAACTCCGACTTGAACAAATCTGGACAGCACGAAGACTTGGGCCACAAAGACTTGGGCCTTACTAAAGACAAGGATGATGGGCCTGATGACGTTGACCCAAATGCTCAAGGTGCTTCTTCTTCTTCCTTCCAACCCTAATCACGCCGAAGGAATCCCGTATGAAGATCTTCCTGATGGAGATCATTACGCTCATATATTCTAGTTCTCATATTTTTCTTTGTGATGATTTTTTATGTTTCCATATCAGACCGACTTTCCTTTTCTGGATTATTCTTCTTCTTCTTCGTTTTGCCATCTGTATATATGTGCTGCATAAGGGTATGAATAAAATACAGTCTCAAATTTTATTGATTAATTCTCACAAATCAATCTCTTTTCCTATAATAGATCCATTGCATACTTAACCAATGGATCACAAACCATTGTAATTTGTGCATCACTTACACATTTATACCACAAGCACTCCTATGTATTTACTCATCTGTATACCACAATACCCGATGTTTATGAAAATCATATGTAGTTATGGGTATTAAAATGTGTTAAGACAAATGTCCCCACTTGGTAATAATTTAGATGCATTATACCACATATAATCACAGATTTAGGAATGGTAAGTTTAGGAATGGGTAATGGTTGTCTCTATAGAGTGTTGGATTTGGGTTTATTTGATAGAATCAAAACGGGCCTAACCCGTGAGAAGCCCGGTCCGTATAAAGTTTTAGAAACTTTAAATCTGCATAATATTAAGAGAATATTCTTGTTTGAATTTGAAATTCAAATTCAAATCAAATTGGATTCAAATCCGCAGAAAATCTATCAAATATGATTAAGATAAGATTGAGATAATATCAAAATAAAATCAAATTTGAATTTTGAAATTCAAATTGATTTGTTTTGAGATTCTCCCCTCTACTATAAATAGGGGTCTTAGGTTAGCTCATAAAACACACAGAAAAAAGAAACAAGCATTCTAGAGAAAAAAAAAAGAGCATTCACATATTTGCTCATATCTCTCTCCGAGTTCGCTTGGTATTTGGAAAGCTTCTTCCAAATACGCGGTCGTTGTATCCTGGGAGTTCACCGTGCTCCAATAGCCTCGAAGCTTTAGAGGTGGCACGGAAATCAAACTTAAGAAAACTGTGTTTTACAGGCCTCGACAAAATAATCTTTTAATTTCAGGTACTTATCTGGAATCGCTCGAATCGCCGGAGTTTTGTCGTCGTCAACAACTGTCATCCCCAACATAGAGTGATGTTTATATATTTACCCCGTTGGAGTTTAAAAAAGGGGAGTTTTATATACAATACATAGGACTCAAACTCCCCATGTCTCAGAAAATTGTATACCATAAAATGTTTAGATAAAAACACGGTTCATCGGAGACATAACAATAATAAATCCCGTATGTATGGATATTTGTGATCGTATGGTCTTTAAAACATACAAGCATATTAAACTATATGGTTTAATCGATTTACATAATATTGTAAATATAGTTTAGATAGATGTTATTGTAAATACATGTAATATGGTACATTATATAAACATGTAAAACAATGTTTGTGCATACATGTAAATACTCTAAAATGTTTTGAGTCAAATAGAGTTTATATATGTTCAAATAAATATCGTATGTAACATGGATAGAGCGCATAAACTTTATAGCTCTACATACATTATATACGTAATTATATACTATTATATACATAAAATAGTATATAATAGTTATTATATCTGTACAATTTACGTACCACACCAGTGGATCATATGGCATACCATATATGTATAATTGTTCATAGATATCACCGTGCTCCAATAGCCTCGAAGCTTTAGAGGTGGCACGGAAATCGAACTTAAGGAAACTGTGTTTCACAGGCCTCGACAAAATAATTTTTTAATTTCAGGTACTTATCTGGAATCGCTCGAATCGCCGGAGTTTGGTCATCGTCAACAACTGTCGTCCCCAACAATCTTAAGTTCGATTTGGTTGACACGAGGCAAACTTCTCGGGTAAGTGCCTAAATCTCCTTTTAATTTCGATATAAAATCTCACACGAATTTGGATCTAAAAACAACTAGGTTAAAAAAAATGTTGGAAAAAAAAAACCAAATAGTTGTTTTGTGAAGCCCAAATTGAGTTTAAGGCCCAAATTTAAAATTGAAGCCCAAATTAAAAGAGATTAATTGAAAAGCCCAAAAGAGTAAGCCCAAATTGAAAAGTTTAGTCTTGGCCCAATTTGAAGAGATTAATCTAAAAGTCCATAAGAGAAAGCCCAATATATTTTATTTAAAAGTGTTTTGTGGGAAAAAAAAAGGGAATATTATTTTTTTTTTGGGAAGAAAAGAAAAAGGTTAAACAAAATCGGAACTAACTTTTCCTGTAAATTGGGGAAGCAAGCTTTGTCTAAACGGGCCGGGTTTGAAGAGGAAGCCCTTTATACCCTCCTCATAGTAAGGACGTGGGAATCGGGATGAACCCTCCGGCTATCACTGGAAGCGAGCAAAACCAATTTATAAGTTAAGTGAAACTCGGTTTAGTTTATAAGCTTTGTGAAAGCTAACAATGATTGGATTTATTCAACAGATCATTGATAATCCAAGAAATCCCATTGATTCAAATACTGCTCTAGGGAATGAGATTCCTGCTATGGATATCGATGAGAATCCTCACATAGCGGAGGTTACGAACCCCGTTAATCATGATGTTGCTGGCACAGATATGAATAATCAAGTGCCCAACGTTGCGAACGTTGTCCCACCAGAAATGCCTTCGGTTGTTGCACTTCGAAAACCAGACAATTCCTATTGTGCCTATCGGCCCGGCTGAGAGACCTGAACAATTTAAGGGTCAAAATTTCAAACGCTGCCAACAAAAGATGTCGTTTTTCTTAACACAACTTAAGTTGTCACGGTACCTCACTGAAGAGGAACCAATCCCAGAGGAGGGCAAT